AAATTTTGGGTTTATTCATAAGGGAATATGGACTGTAACTTTCTTTGTTAGGCAATTGTGGTGTCATAAAAAGAATTAGGCCTTGATCCTTCAATTTCTATTTTGTGGAGTAATTTTAAGAGTACTGACATTTATTCTTCTTTGAAGTCTGGTAGGGTTCTGTGCTGAAACCATCTGGCCCTGGGCTATTTTGGGTTGGGAAATTTTTAATTGCTGCTTCTATTTATAGATCTGTTTAAATTGTTTATCTGATCTTGATTTAATTTTGGCAAGTGGTATGTATCAAGAAAATTATCCATTTCTTTTCAATTTTCTAGTTGGGAGGAGTATAGATTTTTAAAGTAAGTCCTTATGATTCTCTGGATTTCTTTGGTGTCTGTTATGATGGCCCCCATTTGTCTCTAACTTTATTAATTTGGATATTCTGTTCCATTTAGTTTAGTTTGTTAAGGGTTAATCAAGCTTAATGATTTTCTCAAAGGACCATCTTTTTGATTGATTCTTTGCAATTTTTTTTGTTTCTGTTTTATTGATTTCAGTCCTGAGTTTGATTATTTCTTGCCATATTCCCCTTTTAGATGTTACTTCTTTTGTTCTAGAGCTTTTAGGTGTGTTATTAAGTTGCTAATATGAGATCTCTTCACTTTTTTTTAATGTAGGCACTTAGTGCTTTGAACTTGCCTCATAACTTCCCAAATGTTTGAATTTGTTATGTTTTCATTTTCATTCAGTCTTTAAAAGTTTTTAATTTCTGTCTTGACACATTTTCAACTCAGCAGTGAGTTGCTTAGTTTCTGTGAGTTCATATACTTTCTGTTGTTGTTGGTTTCCAGCTTTAATGCATGATGGTTATTCAGTTTTCTTGTATGTGTTGAGACTTGGTTTGTGTCCAAGTGTTTGGGAAGTTTGGAGAAAGTTCCATGATTTGCAGAAAAGGTATATTCTTTTGTGTTTGGATGAAGTGTTCTGTAAATATCTATAATGTCCATTTGGCTTATAGTATCAGATATCTCCAGCATTTCCCTGTTTACTTTTTGTCTGGATGGCCTGTCCATTAATGGGAGTGGGTTATTTAAAGTTACCCACTATCATGCTGTGAGGATCAATGTGTGATTTAGCTGTAGTAGTGTTTCTTTTAAGAACTTGTGTGCCCTTGTGTTTGGTGTATAAATGTTTAGAATTGCAGTTACCTGTTGGTGGATTTTTCCTCCATTGGTGAGTATGTAGTGTCTTTCCCTATCTCTTCTAAATGGCTTTAGCTTGAAGTCTGATTTGACAGATATTAAAATGGCTACCACCCTTGCTTCTTGGGTCTGTGTGCTTGAATATAGTTTTTCATCCTGTCATTCTGAGGTGATACATGTCCTTGATGTAAGGTGTGTTTTCTGAATGAAGGAAAAGGATGGATCCTGTTTTAGAATACAATATTTTCTGAGGAATTGAGACCCTTGATGTTGAGAATTGTGAGAACTATTTGTTAATTTTCATCATTTTGTTGTGTTGTGTGTGTTGTTTTCTCTTTATTTGCATGTCTGATATTTTCTTGGCTTTGGAAGTTTCAGGTGGAAGTTTTACTTCTTGTGCTTTATGTGGTGCTGGATATATATACATATATATACATATATATACATATGCATCCTGCTTAAATTTGGTTTTATCATGGAATATCTTTCTTTTTCTATCTATTTGCAAGTTTTGCTGGTTATAGTTGTCTGGTCTGCTATCTGTGGTCTTTTAGAGTTTGTAGAATGTCTGTCCAGGCTCTTCTGGCTTTTAGAGTCTCCATTTAGAAGTTAGGTGTTATTCTTATAGATCTGCTTTTATAAGTTACTTGGTCCTGCTTTCAATGCCCTTCCTTCCTTCCTTCCCTCCTTCCTTCCTTCCTTCCTTCCTTCCTTCCTTCCTTCCTTCCTTCCTTCCTTTCTTCCTTTTGTATGCTTAGTGCTTTGATTATTATGTGTTATGGGGAATATATTTTCCAGTCCAGGTTATTTGGTGTTCTGTGTACTTGTACAGAGATAGGCACTTCCTCCTTTAGGTTAGGGGAATCTTCTTTCATGATTTTGTTGAAAATGTTTTATATACCTCTGACATGGGTTTCCTCTCCTTTCTCTATTTGTGTTATTTGTAGATTTAGTCTTTTCACAGTGCTCCAGATTGCCTTCATAGTCTGTGTCTGGATTTTTTCATATTTAACATATTATTTGACTGAAGTATTCATTTCTTCTACTCTATCCTCCATGCCTGAGAGTCTATCTTTATTGTCTTGTACTCTGTTGGTGAGGCATACCTCTAAGGTTTTTGTTTGACTTCTAAATTTTTCATTTTTAGGTAGTCTCAGTTTGGATTTTCTTTATTGATTCTGTTTCTATTTTCATGTCTTGAACTATTGTTTTCACAGACTTCATTATGGGATTTATTTATATCCTCTTTATGGTTCTTAAACATAACATAATTGCTGCTCCGAAGTCTTTGTATTATACTTCAGTCATATTGCACTTCTCTGGGCCTACTGTAGTAGACTCAGTGGGTTCTTTCTATTAGAGGCATGGTCTTACCTCTTGATGTTTGTGTTTTTGCACTGGTGTCTAGACAACTGGAGTTTGGATGACTGAGGTGATTCTAGGTATTTGTCTTAGTTATGGTTTCTATTGCTATGATGAAACACCATGACCAAAGCAACTTGGGGTGGAAAGGGTTTATTTGGCTCACACTTCCATATCATTATTCATCATTGAAGGAAGTCAGGACAGGAACTAAAACAGGGCAGGAACTATAAAGGAGGAGCTGATGCAGAAGCTATGGAGTAGTGGTGCTTGTTGGCTTGCTCACTGCTCAGTCTATTTTCTTATAGAACCCCAGGACCACGCAGCCCAGGGAAGGCACTATTCACAATGGGCTGAGCCCTCTGCTGTCAATCACTAATTAAGAAAATGCCCTATTCCTGGATCTTATGGAAGCATTTTCTCAATTGAGGTTCCCTCCTTTCGGATAACTCTAGCTTGTGTCAAGTTGATGTAATAGTAGCCAGCACAGTGTTGGTAACTCTTCTTATCTTTGTTCCATGGATGTTCCTTTCCTTGGTTTCTGTTGCACTCTCTGGATCTTAGGAAAGTGTGTTGCCTGGTGGAGAGTGCTGCTGCAGGTCAGTGCGGGCAGAGAGGTGTGGATGCATGCTAGGTGAAAAGGCTAAGAGTGGCCTCAGAAAGAGCAAATGGGATCCTAGCCATGCAAACAGGTGGGGCCCAGAGGAGTTGGAGGAGTGGTGGAAAAGGGGGCTCCTATTAGTAGGTGTAGCACGGTAGAGAATAATCAGGAAAAACAGGGATAAAAGGTCCAGGATGATCCTGCATCTGAGCCACGAGTTGGAGTTGAAATGGGAGGAGCACGGTATCTCTGGATATCAAGACCTGATACAAAGGGATGGGGATGAATTAGAAGGGAGGGCTTGAAGGGGTTCACACGAAGAAGAAAAGTTGGGTCCACACCAGTGCTCTTGGATTCCCAGGGGATGGAGATAGGTTGGAAGGACAGTCGCTTGCAAGCTGTCCACTGCAGGGCTGGGAGTGAGACTCGACAGATTGTAATAGGGGACAAGAGGAGAGTAAAAATTGCCTACCAGAGTCTAGGATCAGTGTGGTCACTGAGGGGCCTAGCTGACACAAAGGAATGGGAATGGGTTAGAATGGAGAGCGGACAGGGTCCACTGGAAGGGGAAAGCTTGCTCTCCCACAAGTCTCCAGGGAACAGAGATAGTATTTCAAGTCCATTCTCGTCAATATGATTTACATGTTTATTCCCTAATCTTATCTTCCTTCATTCCTTAAAACATCTCACAGAATACCAGACAGCTTCAAAGCCATAGATTTCTCTTTAAAATATTAGTTATATTAAAATATTAATACATGTGACTGTGAGAGGGTGCTTTCATCACGTGTTTCTGAGAAGAGACACTGTAAACAAGGCAACTTTTATAAGAGAAAACATTTAATTGGGGGTAGGGGCTTGTTTTCAGTTTCAGAAGTTTAGTCCATTATCATCATGACAGAAGCATGGCAGCACACATTGTACTTGAGCAGTAGCTGAGTGGGGATGGGGGGAAGGGAGGGAAGAAGGGAGAGAGAGAGAGAGACAGAGACAGAGAGATTGATTGAGCCTGTCATGGGCTTTTGAAACCTCAAAGTCTTCCCCCCCCCCAGTGACACACTTCCTCCAACAAGGCCACACCTACCCCAGCAATGCCACACCTTCTAATTCTTTTCAAATAGTGCCTTTTCCTCATGACTAAGCATTCAAATAAATAAGTCTGTGGGAGCCATTCTTTCCCAAACCATCACAGAGGACTTTTAATATTAAGACAGATAATATTATCTTACAGAGAAATATAAAATATTGAGTAATACTTAACATACAATATAAAACTTCAAGAGGAACCTGTTCCTTCACGCACCACCATTAGTCCTGTCAGATAACTCTAAGGGTCGTTTCATATTAAGTAAGAGCACAGTTTATGGGTATTTTGAGGAGGTCGTCTCAAGAGTCTACAGGTAATAGCAGTGGTAATTTTTATACATAAGCTATTGTTTTCCTTCCCAAGAATTAAGAAGTCTGCACTGGGCGCACACTGCTGGCAGAGTTTCTGTCCTCTTTATGGTGCCAGTCTGTTGCTCCCTCCTTTTAGATTATGGCTCTGCTGACCAATCTATTGCCTCCCCTAAGTGAGATGCAGGGTGAGATCATTTATTACTACTTTGTGGTCTGACACTGCATCAGGTAAAAAGTTGGACCATGATTCTGTATGTTTTCTTGTGTTTATCTTTTAAAATGTGGAGCATAAATGTTGCAAAGTTGAAGACTTTTTATGAGAAAGTAAATTAAAAACATAGAACCTCCTTAAGAATCCTGTGCCAGAAATGCAGTTTGTGTGCACTGAGCTGTCGGAATGTGGTTTTATCCTGGGGACTGCGCAGTTTTCCTTCAGTTTTTGGTTCTTCTCTTAGAGTAAGTGAGGAAAAGGAAGTGACGGAGGAGCGCCTGAAAACCGAGCAGGAGTCCTTTGAGAAGAAGATTCGGCAGCTGGAAGAGCAGAATGAGCTGATCATCAAAGAAAGGGAAGATATCCTTTTGAAAGTTACGTTCTTTTTATGTTCAGTAAGGTTGGTTCTTGTATGAAGAAATTGTAAACTCCCGAGGAGTAATCGTTGTGATTTGTAACAGGGAATAAATCTGCCTGTGTTGCCATTCCAAGGGATAGAGACACTTAGCAGCACGCACTGTTGCTTCCTCTGCGTTTGATAAGGCCACCCAGCTGTTCTGCCGCTGTTATTGCTCTGTGAGGCACAGATTCATCAACTAAAACAGGCAGAAAGAAATTTGGGCTTTACCACAAAATGTTGGTTCTTCATTAAATTTCTGTCCCACTACTATAATGGAGGCTTAACTTCCCCATATTTAGATTTCTTCCTAAGTAAAGTTTAAACAGTTCAAAGGAATCCTATTCTGTTATAAACACTAGAATGAAAAAAATATCTAGAAACTAGAACAACAACTTATAGAATATGTAGCTGCTGTAGTTGATTAATGCTTACACTATAGTGTAAAACCAACAGGCAATGTCATAAAGCAGGAAACTTTTCAATTTAAAGTTAGAAGTGTGTGTGTGTGTGTGTGTGTGTGTGTGTGTGTGTGTACATGTAACTAACTTTTGTGCAAGTGTATGTATGTGTGGGGGGCTTCATGTATTTGACGGCAGGTGCCCATCAAGGCTGGAGGGAGGATCCCCTGATGGTAACAGCAGTAAGCACTCTTATCTGATGAATCTTATCTCCAGCCCCAGTACAAATTTATTTAAATTTAAAGGTTTTTCTTAGAGTGATATATGAATTAAAATAACCAGATGTAAGGACTTTCTTTCAGTTCGCTAGAATTACATGACATAGATCAAAGAGAGAAGCAGCTGTCCCTAAACAGAGATTGATAGATCTGCCAGCAAATGCAGTGTGCAGATGCTTGAAAGAACTATTGTCCTTATTGGCAGTATCATTACAAAGTTGGTGGTTATTATTTCAAAGATTCTGCAAGTGACAGACGTACTCTTATATTGACAGTAATCATGCACTTAAAAACATTAGAGAAATCTAATCATAAAGATAAATTAACTAGCTTGAAAATCATGAAACTAACTATAAATAATGCGTTCTGAACATAGTGGAAGTATATGGTAGAAAATTAATACAGTTAGAATTTTTACATTTGACTTGCAGAGTAGAACATTAATAAGGCTAGGTTTTTTTTTCCATTCTCTTTCTCTGTGTGTGTTTTTCTAACTCTGTCACTGCCTCTTTCTCTATGTCTCTGTCCATCTCTGTCTCTCTTTCTGACTCTGTCTCTGTCTATCTGTCTGACTCTCTGTCCCTCCCTGGATAATCATGTTGGACCTCTTCTGACTTGTTTTGACTTTATTTTTCCAAGAATGTCAGCCCTCAGAACAGAGACCATGTTCTGCTGGTTTTCTCTCACTGTCAGAGAAATTCTGTGTACTGAAAATTCATAACATATTTCAGATAGCACTTTCGAAAAAATAGTAGTTTAGAAAAGCAGTGACATTTCCATTTAAAGGGTCTGTTTTTCACATAATAAGAACTGGAGAGAGATGGCCTCTGGTATTGATTTGTGGGTGTAAAGTTAGCAGTGTTGGCAGCACTACAGTTCTAGCTTCTAATGATTGCTCCAGTTCAAAGGACCCCATTTGAATTAGGTCAGGAAGAAAGGGCAACTGTAAAGTCCTCTCCATTTCAAAAGAAAATAAAAGAACTTTCTCGGGGTATCCTCCCATCCATCACCGATAGTCTTTTATGATATTATTGATATTATGTGGCTTTGCTACCATACTTGCGAGTCTGAGAAGGTTAAGCACACAGCTTTTGTGACTTTTATAGTGTCGCAAGCATTTAGGGAGAAGGAGACTGAAGTTAGCCTCTAACTCTGGTGGCAAAATTAGGGGAGATAGAATTCACTTTTTCTATAGAAAGAATGGAAGAAATATTTTGACAAAAAGATACATCAGGGTAAGTTGAGGGAAGAAGGTAAGAGAGATTGGTGTTAGAATATTTGAAAAGTTGGATACCCAGAGTACGTTCTTGTTTGCATAGTGTTGTACTTAAGAAACTTATGTAGCGTTCCAGGCAGGTAGCCTGTGATTTCAATGGGCAATGATATTAGTATTACGTGAAGAATGTCGTTTTCAGTGCTGAAGCTATATAAACTCATCATGCCCATGAAAGGTTTCTTCTAGAAAGCAATGTGTTAAGACAGCCTATGAGTATTGAAGTGGTACAGTATTTAGTGTTTCCTAACTTAGCTCAAGACACTCCATTACTTCTGTAGCACAAATTGAAAATGATGGCAACTAAATCTAGCTGTGCCCCTTATGTATTATTGTCTGTGGCTACTTTTGTGCTCTAACTTCTACAAGTTGCAAGCAAGACCTTAGAATTCCACTCAACCTAAAGTACTCATTGTCTAACCCTCTAGAGAAGAAGAGAAGGACATACGTGAGGTCATAGACTTAGAATTGTTTCATATACAGTAAGCAGGGGCTTGGTGTAAACATTTATTTTGAATTATGAAGTAAATGCTAGGCATTAGCAACAAGTAAAATGAATTAGTTTATGTAATCCCTTTAAGGCATTTTAAGCCACAAATGACAGGTCATGTTTAAAGAAGTTTATTGTCAAAAAGGAAGAAAGAAATGATATAAACAATGATACTCGGTGTTTTTGTTACAAGTATATTTCACAGGTACAAATCTCCTTAATAGAATAAACCTGTCAGAGGTTAATACAGATGATTTTACAGTACATAAAACTCTATAAAACTTTGAAACATAAAATGAGCTTGTAATTTAAAACAATATAATTTTAGCTATATGTTCATTTACCTATCACACATGGATGGTTCAGACTTTTTCGTCTACATGAAGTCAGATAGTCTCAGTTCATTTTAAAGTTCATTTCTGTGTGCAGCACTAAACCAACAAAATGTAGTCTGGGGTATTTTTAAGGTATGTTATACCAAATTAGTATTTTTAAAGAGCTAATAACTGATTAATTATACAGATTAATACCTCATTGGAAAAGAAACTGTTTTACATGTTTGCATAAGGATAGGGCATGCAATATATATATATATATATATATGTATATATATACACACATATATATTTCTTTTATTAAAACATAAAATTCTTGATAATTTTCAGTCTTTGAGCAAAGAAATACTATGTTTTAAGATATCAGCAATATAAATCAATATGCCATTTTCAATGCCACATGGTCTCTTGAACCTTGTGAATTATTGCGTGACTGAGTGTGTGTGAAAGATGAGAGAATCTGACACTGAAAGAGAAATTTGTCCAACAGTTCTAATTCTGAAACATGTAGGCATGTGGATATTTTAAGTTGCAGTGTATGCATTAATTAGAAAATGTAATATTTGAACTCGTATTTCTAGAGGATGATTGAGATTGATGGTGTTAGGAAAAGCTTGTAGAAGGAAAGTGAAATCTGGTATCTGGCAGCATCACTGTGAACTGAACTGCGAAGGCAGATGTCTGAAACACAGTGCATGTTAGAGAAAACAATCCTGCTTTCATTGACTGCATGAGGTTCCTGGATGATATTCTGTCACCACTCCCCCTTCCGTGTGCATGCATATGTGTGTGTGTGCGTGTGTAAGTGAGAGTGTGTGTGTATGTGTGTGAATGTATGTGTGTGTCTATGTGAGTGTGTGTATGTGTGTGAGTGTATGTGTGTGTGTATGCGAGAGTGGCTATGTGTGTGTCTATGTGAGTGTGTGTGTATGTCTGTGTGAGCGTGTGCATATGTGAGAGTGTGTGTGAATGTGTGTGTGAATATGTGTGTGAGTGTGTGTATGTGAGGGTGTGTATGTGAGAGTATGTATGTGTGTGAGAGTGTGCGTGTGTGAGTGTGTGTATGTGTGTGTGAGAGTGTGAGTGTGAGTGTGTGTGTATGTGAGAGTGTGTGTGTTGCATGTGTGCATGTGATGCATTTGTCCATGCAGATATGCTCATATATGTGGAGGTGTCACCGGTAGAGATCAGGTGTTTTACTTAATCACTGTCCACCTTTGTGTTTGAAAGAGTCTCTCACTGAATCAGAGTTGTTTTTGTCTGGACAAACGGGCCGGTGAGCTGAGGAGTCTGCCTTCCTCCTCTTGCCCACCACTGGGATTATAGTGCATGCTGTTGACAAGCATGCTAGAGATCCAAACTCAGTTAACACTTTACCAACTGAGCCATTTCCCCAGGCCTGACCCCCACGATCATAGAACTGGAGATTGAATTCAGCAGCGCAGCAAGTGTTGTACCACTGAGTCATATCTCCACCCTGAAAAGTTACTCTTTTTGTATCTAATACTCCTTTTGTATATATAATGCCTCCTTTGCAGGCTTGTTGGAACTTGAAGGGTTTTCTTTTACCATGTCTTCAAAGACTAACCAGGTTCAATAGTAGGCACTGACTAAAAGATGGCATTTCTCTTGTGAGCATGGAGGGGGGATGACTGTTCTCTTGTCTTCCATTCCTGTGCCCCCTTTCTCTAGGATTTGGATAGTTTTTATTATACAAGTGCTTGGGTGGCTTCTAAGCTCTGTGGAAGGGAGCTTGGCTTGTGTCTGTTGTTGCTCAATGAAGGAAACCAAGAATTTTTGTTGTTAGTGTTTTGGGGGAGAGTATTTGTCTGTTTGGGCTTCTTTGTGTATTGCTGGGTCAGAAACCAAGCACCTCCCCCCTCTGTTTTTAAATTTTATTCTTTTAAAATTCCATGCCTTCATTCCTTTAATTTCCCCCATGATGTTCCTAGTATACATCTTGCTTCCAACTTGATGCTGTGTGTGTGTGTGTGTGTGTGTGTGTGTGTGTGTGTGTGAGAGAGAGAGGGAGGGAGGGAGGGAGGGAGGGAGGGAGGGAGGGAGGGAGGGAGGGAGGGAGGGAGAGACAGACAGAGAGAGATTGAGTCTGTTTAGTGCTGCCCATGTACACATGGGTATGTGGTCATCGCCTGAGATATAGACAACAGTGGCCATCCCCTAAATAA